TCTGCCATTGGCCCGAGACAAAAATTAGATCCAGCGTGTGTCCACCCGTGTGAGTAGGGGCATGAATTAATTGGGTCAAGTCCAAGGCCGTCATGGAAGCCAAGAACTCCTGAGCTGCCGCCGACGTCCCACCCGCCGATGGCAGGTTGAAATCCCCCAAGACCATAAGTCTGGGGGTCCCAACCGCCACCCCGGCTATTACATCAGCCAGCTCAGGCAGGGCTGTTGATACATAGCAGGGAGCCAAGTATATAATCAACAAGCCCACTTGCACCCCTTGCCCCCATTTCACAAGGAGGGACTCCACGCCGTCTATCTGAGGCACAGTGGTCTCCCTTGGACAAAGGCCCTCCTTTATAATGACCGCTACCCCCCCGCCCCTACCCCGGGTCCTCGGCCGATGGAATGCCTGAAAACCCGGTGGGCAGATGTCTACCAGTGGTACTCCACCTTCTACGCCCAGCCAGGTCTCAGTAATACCTGCCAGGTCCGCGCCCCCCTCCAAGATAAGATCCTGTATGAGGGGGGCCTTATTTACCACGGACCTGGCATTACATAACATCAGCCGATGGTCCCGGGCTGGAGGGTCTAAGTCTCCTGGAAACCGAGTGGAGACCTGAGGACCGGAGCGCCCACAAGTTTGTAAATAGCGTGTGCGTGCTCCCCCAACCTGATATGGTCCTCTGCTCCCGCCATATCTGCCTCTCCCACTGACCGTACTAATTCCTCCCTTCTCCGTCAACCCCCCAACCTCCCCCCCCACCCTTTCTACACCGCAACCCCCAGACATGGCTGGTCCTGACCTAAGGGGAACCTCCCCCCTCCCACCCACCCTGGTTCCCCCTAAAAATTTGTTAAAACACCCCTGTAAAAAAGCTCTCAAATTGGACAATTTAGATAATTTTTTGTTTGTAACTGCTGCATGCCACCTCTCGGGGTTCCACACCCCATCCTCAAGGTAGGCCCTAGAAATGTTACTGGGCCAGGCCTGCGCGAGGGGTGAGTCGCGCAGGACCAGCAGGACCATCTTGGGGTACATAGGTCCAGCAACGGGAGTCCATGGCACAGAAGGGAAGATGTTGTTTGGCAGTTCTCTGTCTCTGTCTCTCTCTCTCTCTCTGTGTGTGTGTGTGTGTGTGTGTGTTTGTGTGTGTGTGTGTGTGTGTGTGTGTGTGTGTGTAAAAGAGAGTGGACTCACAGTGTTCTCTGACAAGCTGAAAAGCTTTTTGGGCGGGGCTCCTCCCTTTGCTGCGTCTCTGCAGGAAGCAGGAAGCAGGAAGGGCAGGAGAGAGCTAGCTAGCCCAGCTATGCTGACTCAGGAATTCTGGGAGTTGAAGTCCATGAGTCATAAAAGAGCTGAGGTTGCCTACCCCTGTTCTCTTGTTGGAGAACAGCTTGAAGCCAGCTTGCCAGGTGAGCAGAAGATGGAGAGAGGGAGAGGGGGGGAGAGAAAGGGAGAGGGAGAGGAAAGAGAGAGAGAGAGAGAGAGAATGGGGAAAGAGGACTGGCAGACCAAGGGCAGAAAGAGAGAGAATAACACTGCATATATCCTTTTTTACCTTTAGGAGATATATAAATAAAGGTATAAAAGGTAAAATAAAGGTAAAAAAGGATATATGCAGTGTTATCTTCATTTTAGATATCAAAAGGATTTTGCGGCTCCCAGTGTTTTGTTTTTGGTGGGAAACGGGTCCAAGTGGCTCTTTGAGTGTTTTGGGTTGCCTACCCTTGTTCTAGCCCATGTCTCTATCCTTGAGGTAGAATCTAACTCACATTAAACAAGCAGTCATCAAATATGACACTTTCTACTCTCCTATTTCTATTCTGCTATTCTCCAACATCCAGTCAGAGCTGAAGAAGCTTCTTGGATGAGAAGCAAAATGTCTTCAAAAAAACAACAACAAGAAAGTCCAGTTGCCTCATGAAAAAGCATATTTGGGAGGAAAATCTAAATATTTTTTCCTACAGCACTCATTTTTAAAATGTAGATTGAATAGATAGGTATAGAATAGATAGGTATAGAAAATTTTAGGAAACATTTAGATTGCAGGGATATCTGGACAAGCAATTCTGAAACTTGGGAAAGGTTTGATTCTTTTCAGAAACTCTTTTCTTCTTTTCAGACATGGAGAATTGTGACAGTTGTCCAGAGCATCAATTTCCAAACCAAGCTCACAATGAGTGCATTCCAAAGACACTGAATTTCCTCTCCTTTGAAGAGCCACTGGGCATTATTCTGGTTTCTCTGGCTCTTCTCTTTTCCCTAGTTACAGCTTTGGTGTTTATAATCTTTATCAAGCAACGGGATACTCCCATTGTCAAAGCCAACAATCGCAACCTCACCTATATTCTACTTATCTCCCTCTTCCTCTGTTTCCTCTGTTCACTTCTATTCATTGGACAGCCCAATAAAGCAACCTGCCTTCTCCAACAAACAACATTCGGCATCATTTTCTCTATTGCAATCTCTTCTATATTGGCCAAAACCATCACAGTTGTTGTAGCATTCCTAGCATCAAAGCCTGGAAGCCTATTCCACAAATGGGTGGGGCAAAAATTGGCCTATTCTATTATCTGGTTCTGCTCCTTCATTCAAATATCTATTTGTATTGTTTGGCTGGGAACCTCTCCCCCGTTTCCAGATTTGGACATGGAGACACTCCTTGGAGAAATCATAGTCAAATGTCATGAAGGCTCCATCACCATGTTTTACTGTGTCTTGGGCTATATGGGCCTCTTGGCTATTCTCAGCTTCACGGTGGCCTTCCTAGCCAGGAAGTTACCAGACAGTTTCAATGAAGCCAAGTTCATCACTTTCAGCATGTTGGTTTTCTGCAGTGTTTGGTTGACCTTTGTCCCTACCTACCTGAGCACCAAAGGGAAGTACATGGTGGCTGTGGAGATCTTCTCTATCCTGTCTTCCAGTGCTGGCTTACTGGGATGCATCTTCACCCCCAAAATCTACATAATTATACTGAGGCCTTCACTCAACACTAGAGAGCATTTAATACAAAAGAAATGAAAAAGAACAAGATTGTATTTTGAACAAGTGAATACTAATTGGGTGTATATGTGCAGCCATTTTCATATACAAGAATGAATGAGTAATTTGATGAAGCTGTACAAACATTTCAAATAGTTACATGGAATATCTGTGTACAAATTTGATTAGTACATCCAAAAGTAATTTATTAGGAAATAAATTATCTATATAGGTAATGAAGTAAAAACAAACTCAATTGAATTTGTCTTTCACCTTAGAGTTTGATGGGTTTTTTGAGGGGGAGGGGTTATATTAATTTTTTATCAAGGAATTTTTCCATATGATTTAATGAAATTGTTCTGTTTGGGTTTTCAATAGTAATAAGAAAAGAATTGGCCACTACCAAGATAAACATTACAAAGAATAGTGTGATTCTTTGTAGATTATTGAGTGTTTTTCCTAACCATTAAAAGCCACTTACTAATTGAATTTTGCCACCAAAGCTGATAATACAGTCAATTATCAAACTCTTTACAATACTTCCAACTTAATTAGAAGATGCATACCAGTTCAGCAATTATTTTAATGGACAATTCCTAATGGCATGAATTTTTCATTATATATAAAGAAATATTTCTTTTCCTCAGTGAAAATAAGTATGTCCTGAAGAAACCCTTGCCTTTTTGTGATTTTGTTAAGTAAATTAGAAAAGTAAGAGAAAGCATGATGTTGTGGCTAAAATTGGGCTTTAAAGATACAAGATAATTTTATTTACATGTCTACAAGCAATAATACACTATATTCTGGATCCCCAGCAAAGCTTTTAATACTTTGCTAAGCCCACATAAGCAAAAGTAAACCAGGGCTTATATACATTTGCTTATTTAAAAAGACAAAGGCAGAAACAGTGGAAATTATAGATGACATTAGAAAATTTTAGATTAACCGATCTATGTGACCATAATATTATTTATCTCTTCCTATTAGGTCAACATCCTAGCCATAACATTTTTGAGATATGGTCAGTAAAATAGATAGTCCTTGACATGTGACCACAATTGAGCCCAAAATTTCTGTTGTTGAGACAATTGTTAAGTTTTGCCCCATTTTATGACCTTTCTTGGCACATTGGATAAGTGAATCGCTACAGTTGTTAAGTTAGTAATATGGTTGTTAAGTGAATCTGGCTTCCCCATTGACTTTGCTTGTCCAAAGGTCTCAAAAATTAATCACATGACCACAGGATACTGCAACCATCATAAATAGGAGCCAATTGTCAAGGGTCTGAATTTTGATCACCTAACCATGTGGATACTGCAATGTTTGTAAGTTTGAAAAATGTTATAAGTCACTTTTTTCAGTGCCGTTTGTTATAACTTTGAACGGTCACCAACTGTTGTAAGTTGAAGACTAACTATAGAAACGATTTGGTTTTCTGAGTCACAGGTTCCTGACATAGTCTTTTTCTATCCTCACTCTTAGTCAGAGTTTAAATGCCCTGTACCATTTCACTTGTGGGAAGTGTGTGTCCGTGATCTCAACATGGACTAGCAATATATATTAACATTTCAATTATGAATAGGTACCGGTATATTTTGCAGCCCAAATGCTGCAACTCTTCGGGCCACCAGCAGATGGCGCACGGACATTGATATTCAGCGGATATTCAATGGAGGGAATGGGTGTTAAATATGGGAAAGGAAAGGAAAGGAAAGGGGAGGAGAAGAGGAGAGGAGAGGAGAGGAGAGGAGAAAAAAGAAAAAGAAAGGGCTGCCAATCCTATTTTTTATCTGAAGGGGAGGGGAGGGAAGAAAACCTTAATTTAGAAGGGCAAAGTATTTTGGAAACAGGAATTCAAAAAGCAGCTTTGGGGATTATGAAAAAGCCACAGGGAAAAGCAGAAAGAGAAGTAAAGAAGAGCTGGTTTGGGACAGAGAGGGAGGAAGAAGAGAGAAAAAGGAGAGGCAAAAAAACTGAAAGGCAACAGCTGGGAAAAGCAGAAAGAAGGAAGAGAAGGATGGAGATTTCCCAAAGAGCACAGCATTGAGGAGACAGCAAGCAACAGAATTCAAACTGTGCGCATGTACGGCTGCAGACCAAAAATGTAATTCTAAATATCAGCAACAAATATCATCAACTGCGAACTAAAATGTTTATAAAAGAACGCCTTCTAACATGGGATGCTGTAACCAAGTTTTTTTTTATACCCAAAGTTTTCTTATTGCCATTGAGCAAAATTGTACCCTCTTAAAGAGTATTTCTGACGATATAACAGCTAATTAAAAAGGATGTGTGTTCTTCTACAGTGGGGTTGGTTCTGTTAATGAGGAGGAGGAGCAATATAACAGTGTTTTTGCAGAGTAAGGAAGAGAGGCAGGTCAGATTGCAAGGCCATTATTTTTGTCCTGTCTCCTGGAATAGCATCAAACAACATAAGATAAGATAAGATGAGATGAGATGAGATGAGAAGAGAAGAGAAGAGAAGAGAAGAGAAGAGAAGAGAAGAGAAGAGAAGAGAAGAGAAGAGAAGATGATAAGATAAGATAAGATAAGATAAGATAAGATAAGATAAGATAAGATAAGGTAAGATAAGATAAGATAAGATAAGATAAGATAAGATAAGATAGATAAGATAAGATAAGATAGATAAGATAAGATAACCTTTATTGTCATTTTTTTACTGTGGGCACAACGGCACACATCAAAAATGAAATTTAGTTGCCCGCTCTCAAAGTGAAACACATACATGACACACACCTAAACATACTATGAACAACATATGTGTAGACCCACATCCCTACATATACATAGCAAATAAATATTAAATACTGTCCATCTTGAATATATAACGGAAGGAGGAAGCTTGAGAGTTCACCAGGTTAATGCTGTATGGAATGAAACTCTGGCTGAATCTGGATGTCCTGCTACGGATACCACGAAGCCCCCTCCCAGAAGGTAACAAGGAAAACAGGTCGTGAAGAGGATGTGTAGTGTCCCAGATAATCTTACGGACTCTGCTCAAGCAGCGCTTCTGTGCTATGTCCTGGATGGGAGGGAGGGAACTGCCAATGATCTTTTCGGCCATTCTCACCACTCTCTGCACCGCCTTCCTGTCTGAAGCAGTGATGCTTCCAAACCAGACTGTGTTGCTGTGTGACAGGATGCTCTCGATCGTCCCCCTGTAGAAAGTGGTCAGGACAGGGGAAGGAAGATGTGCTTTCCTCATGCGACGCAGAAAATGTAGGCACTGCTGTGCCCGCTTCACCATCCCATCTCCTACATCTCCAGACTTAGCAACTTTAAGACTTATGGACTTCAATTCCCAGAATTCCATGGCCGGCTGAGGAAATTTTAGGAGTTGAAATCCACAAGTCTTAAAGTTGGACACCCCAATAAGTCGTAAAACGGGGCAAAGCTCACTTAACAAGTGTCTCACTTAGCAACATAAATCTGCGGCTCAGCTGTGGTCGTCTGTCGAGGTATTACTTCTATTTATAAAAATGATAAAGGCAGGATATAAATAAATAAAAACTGTTTAAAAAAAAATAGCTGTCATGTTGACCAAAGAAGGGGTGTAGGGCAGAGGTCATGCTGGCGATCCGGAGGGAAGAGCAGCAGCTGGGAACGGGGACACACACAAATGCCCCCGTTTGCGCAGGCGAGCAGGTGTTAGCTGCTGCTGCTGCTAGCCCAGTGAGCATGCGCAAACGGGCAACGCAACCTGCACGGCACTAGCGGCCCCATTTGCATATGCGTGCAGGTGCTAGCCACCGCCCCTGCTAGCGCTGCATGCATGAGCAAACTAAGTGTGCAACCTATGCATGCTAGCAGCCCTGATTGCGTACAGGCACTAGCCACCACTGCTGCTAGCCCCACGCACATGCGCATACGGGTTTGCAGGCGCTAGCGCGAGTGGGGGTGAGTGCACGCACTGACCAGCCTGTCCTGCGGCCCGGTGGCCATTAGGCCATGGCCCAGCGGTGAGCCGCAGACCATAGGTTGGGGACCCTGGTATAGGGAATCCAAACTTTATTATTTATTTAGGATGCAAATCCTAAATAAAACTGGAGGATTAAACTGGAGGATTCAAACTGGAGAATTAAAAAAAAAAAAAAATATTCACTGTATGGACCCAAGAATACAGGTAGTCCCCGACTTACAACAGTTCATTTAGTGACCATCCAAAGTTACAACGGCACTGAAGAAAAGAACTTACGGCCCTTTTTCACAGTGATGACCTTTGCAGCATCCCCACGATCATGTGATCAAAATTCAGACACTTGGCAAACTGATTCATATTTACGCCGGTTGCAGTGTCCAGGAATCATGGGATTTCCCCCCCCCCCTTTTTTTGCAACCTTTCCCACAAAATCAATGGGGGAAGCCAGACACACTTAACAACCGGCTCACTAACTTATCAAGTGCAGTGATTCACTTAACAACTGTGGCAAGAATGGTCGTAAACTGGGCAAAACTCACTTAACAAATGTCAAGCTGTTCCCTTTCAGGGGTTTCAGAGGTAGAAAAAAGCTTATTTTAAAAAAAAAAGATCCTGGCAAATAGAAACAGCCTCATTTGAGGCGTTTCAGTAAAAGCAACTTCACGTGCAGCAGAGTGGCGCAGCGGAAGCGTGCTGGGCCCATAACCCAGAGGTCGATGGATCGAAACCATCCTCTGCTAAGTATTTTTTTTCCCCCCCATCCTTACATGAAGGTATTTATTTTCTTTTTTTTTTTGCAACTCTTTCTCGATACAGTTTTAACCCCTATATTCCGTTTCTGAACACTCCGTCATCAGTGAGATGCATTCATCTTTTTAAACTGCTGTAAAACATCTCTGGGGGTGGGATAACTGCAGCGAAGGCCGTTTCTTCTGCCATCTGTCCTGACTAAAGCGTGCATTTTTTAAAACATCTACTTAACCCTCTATGCCGGTGATGGTTGTTATTTTAAAAAGAGGGGGGGGAAGCAAATAAAAACCCTACGCCCAACGTGGGGCTCGAACCCACGACCCTGAGATTAAGAGTCTCATGCTCTACCGACTGAGCTAGCCGGGCAAGTTACAAAGCCCTGCAGTTTATGTTCCTTTACTCCGCACGAGAATAGCCATGCATTGTTCAGTGGAAGAGAGCAGAGGAGAGAAAAGAAGAGAAGAATTTTATTGTCATTTTAAATTGCAACGAGAAGCCAATGGTGGTCCAAAGGAAGTGGCTGCATCTTTTTCTCGAGTGGAAGAAACAAGATATTGGCAACCAAATTGCAAAGCCCGCAAAAGATCCCACTAAATTGTGTTTGTGTGTCTGTGTGACTCCCAGCACCCTCCTCCTACAAACCACCACCCCCCCTCAAATCCAAAAGCTGCAAAGCTCCCTTTAGAAGACTCGAAGGAAATGCGAGCTGTGCCCTGCAATTTCCGCCCAGCGAGATAATTTATGTCATTTTAAAAACGCTGCTAAAATACTCTTTCCTTCGCCCCCCTTAAAAAAAAAAAAACCCTATGCCCTCTCTGAGGCTCGAACTCAGGACCTTCAGATTATGAGACTGACGCGCTGCCTACTGCGCTAAGAAGGCACTTGGTATAACGTTGCGACATCTGTAACCTGGATTATATGTTCTCTTTTCCGCTTGGTAACGTGATAATTAGGTTAAGTCGCTTTTAGAAGAGTATTGATTCTTCTCTCTTGGACCCTCTGCATTGATGGCTTTTATTTCTCAGCCTTCGCACTCACAAATGACGTTTAATTTATTTATAACTTGAAGATTTGGAAGTTCCTGTTCTTTTTACTGTTTTGGGTGCACCCCAGAGGAGTTTTTGTCGTTATAAGGGGTGGGGGGGGCGTGCAACTATAGAAGTCTTTTTTTAAATCAGCAAATGGGGGCAAAGAGGAATTGGAAGGGTGAAATTAAGAGTCAACCCAAGATTGTGATACAAAAGACCAGGCTCAAATGATCTTACTTTGAACCCAGTATGCAAAGACCTAATTCTCTGGAAAGGATTCTAATGCAGGGGGCGGGGGGAAGAGAAGAGAAGGAGGGAAGGAAAAAAAGAGAAAAAGATGACCATTAGCAACATACAATATGAACAGAACAGAATAGAATAGAGCTGGAAGGGACCCTGGAGGTCTTCTAGTCCAGCCCCCTGCTCAAGCAGGAGACCCTATACCATTTCAGATAACTGACTGTCTAGCCTAGTGGTGGCGAACCTACGGCATGGGTGCCAGAGGCGGCACTCAGAGCCCTCTCTGTGGGCACGCGCGCCGTCGCCCCAGTCCTAGGCCTTCGGCTGGGTTTTATAAAATCTTTTCGCTTTAGGCTTCCGCTGCCATGTGCAAAAAAAAAAAAGGTTCAATCAATCAGTCAATTTCAACTTCTCGCAGGGAAAAAAAGATCTTGCAAAGTTGGAATTGATTGAACTTTTTAGTCCCACCCAGTCTGCCGTTACCACCGCAGCCACGTCCACCCAATGGGCCACACTCAGCCAATGGGCCACACCCACCCGGCACCTGATGATGCATAAGTGGGTTTTGGGTTGCAGTTTGGGCACTTGGTCTCTAAAAGGTTTGCCATCACTGGTCTAGCCTCTTCTCAAAAGCCTCCAGTGACGAAGCGCCCACAATTTCTGGAAGCAAACTGTTCCACTGGTTAATTGTCCTCACTGTTAGGAAGTTTCTCCTTAATTCCAGGTTGCTTCTCTCTTTGATTTGTTTCCAGCCATTGTTTCTTGTCCTGCCCTCTGGTGCTTTGGAAAATAATGTGACCCCCCCCCCCTCTTCTTTGTGGCAGCTCCTCAAATACTGGAATACTGATATCATGTCACCCCTATTTCTTCTTTTCTTTAGACTAGCCAAACCCAAGTCCTGCAACCGTTCTTCACATGTTTTAGTCTCCAGGCCTTTGATCATCTTAGTTGCTTAGTCGCTAATGAATGCACTGTTGAGAGCATCTATATGGAGATTCCCAATCATCCAAGTCAAAGATGCTTTCCCAAAGGCAACTGGACTTCCCCCCCTCCCCTTGAAAACGTTTTCCTTCTCATCCAAGAAGCTAAGCTTCAGAACTGAAGAAGTTTGTTGGATGAAAAGTCAAACATTTTCAAGGGGGAAAAAACCAAGAAAGTCCAGTTGCCTTTTGAAAAACACCTTGTGGAGAGAATCAAAAGTACAAATTAGAGTCAGTTCGTCCTGGATAAAACCTATCTAGATGCTCCCTAAGAGTCAAAAACAATTTGGTGCACATAAGCAATTATTTATTTCATTTATTCAATTAATTTGCCACCCGTATCATTTCAAAAAGACTCAATAGATAATAGCTTATCTAGTAACAAAGAAGTCAGCAATGTTAAGAAAATGTCTTAATCAAAAGAATCCGAGAGGCCCAAATGCAAGTCCATCCACATCCTAGGAGACTTTTGGCCCGGTCGTGTCCCAGCCTGGCCTACCTCACAGGGCTGTTGGCAACACGAGAAATAGAAGAATGCTACTTATCCTGGATCAATCTCTTAGCTTTAAAACAATACGTTTAACCAAATCAATTCAAATAAAATAGGTAGCAAGCCAAGGTAGTGGTATCTGAGTTAGCAGTAAGTCCCTTTAAATATAGTAGGATTAAATAGGCAGATCTGCCAGAGACCCTCAGATCTGTCCCACTCCTGCCCAGGCCCCCACAGGCACCCTTGATGCGAATGATGTAGAGCTGGCCACGCCCACCCAGTAGGCCACACCCACTCCATCCATGCCCACCCAGTAGGCTGCACCCACTCTGGCCACACCCACCAGGCCCTCCAAGGGCAACCGCAATGCTGATGCGGCCCTCAGTGAAATTGAGTTTGACAGCCCTGAGCCATCAATAGACACACATAGACATTAACAATATCTATAGACTATGCAAAAGAGACAACCAACCCACAAGAGAAAAAGACCCCAGAAGCTCTCCACCAATAATCAGCACTCATATCAGTTTCTCCTTAATTCCAGGTTGCTTCTCTCTTTGATTTGTTTCCATCCATTGTTTCTTGTCCTGCCCTCTGGTGCTTTGGAGAATAATTTGATACCCTCCTCTTTGTGGCAGCCCCTCAAATACTGGAATACTGCTATCATGTCCCCCCCAATCCTTCTTTTCTCTAGACTAGCCATTCCCAAATCCTGCAACCGTCCTTCCTATGTTTTAGTCTCCAGGCTTTTAATCATCTTAGTTGCTCTTCTTTGCACTTTTTCCAAAGTCTCAACATCTTTTTTGTAATGTGGTGACCAAAACTGGATATAATTATATAAGACACCAGAATATAAACTGAGAGCAAATAGCACTTCTTACTAGCACCGATGATGTTACCTAGTTAGGGTAATGAAATGTCTGCAAGAAAACAAGCTCAGAGAGCACCAAGGACCCCCTCATTTCAACTACATTCAGCTACATTCAGCTACATTCTGCTTCATCGGTCTTGTTTATTTAAGAAAATCTATATGGCTGCCCATTCACTCTCAGTGACTCTGGGCAGCTTACAATAATAAATTTTTAAACACACGTAGTGACGTTTTATACAAGTCTTACGTGATAAACTAGGTGCTCTTTGGTTTCTCTAGATAAAGAAGGGAAGTCCGTACCTCCGTTTTTGCGCAAACAGAAAGGTCGGCCCGAATGTAAAAAGGGAAAAAAAAAAAAGTTTTAAGGGCGCGAACGTTTGCTAACCGAGTTGAAGAAAAAGTTTTTGAGGGCGCCGCGGCTGGATGGCAGCCAATCGCTTCTTCCTTTGAGTTGGCGCGAAGTTTAGGATTTTGAACAGGGGCGGAAAAAACAGGGCTTCTGGAAAGTGAAAGTCTGCCAGCGCTTTTCCTAAAGAGAAAGCTTATTCTTTTTAATAAAATGTGATTGTCGAAAAGGCGCTGGCCAGACTTCCGATTTGTTGGAAAGTTGTAGCCCCAGGGCTTTTTAACATTATAAAACTTGTATGGCCACTTTGAAACATTTCACTTGAATTACAGTATCAATTCTCTCTCAAAGTTGCTTATTAAGTGGGGCGAATTGCCTCGACAGAGCGTTTTAAAACCTTGAAACTCGTTCTCCTCGTTTTAATTATTAACACGGGTTGTGTTCACACATCTTTGGGATGTTTTTTTTTTAAGTTTTAATTCGTCCTCCGGATTGCGGCAGAATATGAAACCACATATTAAACAAAGGGACCATTAAAAAAAAAAAGCTAAGAGCAGCTAAGCTTGAAGTGGGCGAATGTAGCTGCTAAAACTTCTGGGCGATCGAGTTAAAAGGGGTTGTGTGAATAAGACCAAGGGGGTGGATGAAATGAATTGGCTTTAAAGAAAACTCAAGTTTATTTTATTACTTTAAACACAGTTGTTCCCTATGCCATCCGCCTGGTAAACTCGCAAGATTCGTTTTTCTCGCCGTGTACATGTAACACATCCGAATTAGACTGTTTTCTCTGGGTCATATGTGTATGTGGGCATATGCACTATTTTTGTCCTGTTTATGCAATGCATATTTTAAGTGGTTACCCTCCCGAGAGCCGTTTGCAACGAAATCCCATTTTAATATAGGCTGATTAGTCTACATTTGAAGTGACGATAAAATTATTCTATTCTAGTTGGAAAACTTGAAGAGTGGCCGTAGTCGTCGGGTAAGTAGCAAGTTGTTTCATTTAGCACAAAAAGAAAAAGAAAAAAAAGCAAAGCGCGATTTTTGCGCAACTTTTCAGCCTGACCGTTTAAAATCCCTGAATTTTGGTTATTGCCAGGGAAAATCAGAGATTCCTGCTCGACTTTTAAGTATTTTCCCCATCCCTCCCAAAAAAATGAATTTGTTCTCCCCAGCTCTTTCCAGGAAAAGGTGGGTGGCTCTTAAAAGAGCCTTTGGGTGTCGTTCTGGGCAGCCGAGAGCGGGCAGGCAGGCAGGCAGGCGAGCGGGCTGGCTGGCTCTACTTCCCTTTGGCCTTGTGGCTCTCGGTCTTCTTGGGCAGCAGGACGGCCTGGATGTTGGGCAAGACGCCCCCCTGGGCGATGGTGACTTTGCCCAGCAGCTTGTTCAGCTCCTCGTCGTTGCGGATGGCCAGCTGCAAGTGGCGAGGGATGATGCGCGTCTTCTTGTTGTCCCGGGCCGCGTTGCCCGCCAGCTCCA